AACCGGATCCTCCTCCATGATCAGATCTCTGAAGTTATAAAGACAACCAGCCGAACCATGTGGCTTGTCTTCCTTCAAGTATCTAAAATCAGCGTGTATGACATAAGTGGCCAATGTGATATTGATAAAGAAGAAAATTGAAACCTTTTGAAAAAGTCATAAGATGATTAGAAAGAAATGAGAACTTACCTAACAGGGACTTTAAGCTCATTTGAGATGGAGGATACATATAATGCAAATTCACGTTCTTCATAGAAACCAATAAGATAAATCTGAGCCAAATTAGGAATCTGCAACACAAACAATAGTTCACTAAATTGGAAGATTATATATATAATTTGATTTGAATTTTTTTCACAATGGTGATTGTTTTACATTGTGGGAATGGGAAGCATACCCTTTTACAAGCAGAAATTGGATGATGAACCATTGGTTGTCCTGCTAATGGAAAGAGTGGCTTGGGTATGTTAAATGACAATGGCCGGAATCTGGTTCCTGCAAATTCAAATATAACAAAAAAAAAAAAAAAAAACTATGGATATCATAATCAAGCATAGATGAATGTAGTCCAATCTAACATAAACTAACAAAACAAGACAAAGTGAATAGAGATAAGGTGAGTGAGAAGGGGTAGTATAATAACATTGGAAAAATTCCACATTGTATCAAAGCTGATATGGTGAATTGAATTGTTTAGTTTAGTTTAATGGTGATAAATCTGAATTGAAATTCATTGATATACCTTTGGTGGGTCCTCCAACCATGATCACAGCCACGACCCTCTCTTCTGAAGTTCCCATCTTTGCTGCTAACTCAGATCCACAACACGAGAGGAGAGACGAAGGCTTAACTTGACATTGAGCTCTTTGTGTTTATTATTATTGTGTGTCACAGTAACCAATAGAATATCCGAAAGTGCAATGTAACTTCCAAATAGAGACAGAGAAAGACTTATCTCAGCTTGTCTTGGATTTGTGATGAGATCACGACAACCTTAGTTGTCGGTCCATATTAAACACGCGACTCTGTGAAAACTGCACCCTTCCAGTTTATCCTTTCTCTTCTGTTACTCTATTTTATTAACAATTTATTAATCCTACTCTCATTTTCTCATGTTACATACAGAAACAACGTGGGGCACCATTAAAGAATAAAAAAAGAAAAAGAAAAAAGTGAGATAACATGAGATAATTATCTAATATAAAATAAGAGTAGTATTTCTCATTTATTATTGGGAAAAGTATTTCTTCGGTCAGAGTCATCAGAGATAAAGTTATTTTCACTAAACTCAAAACGATGTCATTTTGGGTTGTATAAATCAAAAATTATAATAATAAAGATTAATATAACCCTGTAATATATTATAATTACATAAACAATTTGATTTTCTTTCAAGATAACTTATCTCCATTGATCGAAGAAATCATTTACCTTTTATTATTTATAACTTAATCAATTTTTAGTTCTAGTAATAAGAATTTATAATTTATTTTTATGATAACGACAGTTTTATAAACAAAAAATAAATGGGAATCACATTTTTTTTTGGAAAAAGTGTGTAACATCTTAATTGACATAAATTGTGTTATTTTATAAACACAAATTGTGATATTTTATGTACACAAAAAGGTGAAATTTATACCTTTATTTTATTTTATTTTTATTTTTTAATAGAATTTATATCTCTTTTTATCTATGAAATGACACAATTTATGAAAAAAAACTTTGGTGCATTAGATATATTCAACTGGGTACATCTTTTTTTAAAAGGAACTTTTTTTTTTTTTCAATATGGCAAGAAATAGATTTTCAAAAATGATGAATTTTTTTTTAAATATAAAAAAAATACCCAATTGGATATGTCTGATACACCAAAACTATTTCTCTAAGTGTCATTTAAAATGACATAATTTTTTTTTCTTTTGCGGCATATTCTACTGTATTCGTATAAAAGTGAGTGATAATTTATTAACGCACTTCAGTGTGTTTCATAATTTTTTTTTTATGAAACAAAAACAAAATTATTTTTCTCAAACTAAATATAACCAATAATGAAAATTTGCACAGTGAGCCACAGAACTCCATGTATTGTAGTAATTTGTGGCCTGTATTTTAAACAAGCTACTTGAGTGTTTAACTTTAATGGGACCGCAACAAGTAAAAGAATCTAAGTAAATTAAAAGGTTGTGATTTTTTCGTGGAGGAAGGAATCCTTTTCACTAGTTGGAGGAAATAATTTTTTGTTTTTTCAGTTCAGAACCCTGTCATTACATTAGTCACAAATTGGCTAATTTTTAATCTCCCCCATATTATTTTGGGTCTTGGCTTCGTTTACTTACGTGAAAAAATAATGCATTTTACGATGCCGTGCTCGTCACAAGATACCAATAATCATCTCAATTTCAATGTCATACACGTTTTCTGGGCCTATTTCTCCTTTTCATTAAATTAGTCAAATCATAGTCGCATTGCATAGAAGTTGAGTTCGACCTAATAAGGCATAATGCTTTGGCTGTGATCATGGAATGTAGCCACTCATATGATGAGGACAAGAAAAGGAAAGAGCAATAATTTGTTTTCAAGTGACTTACAAAAAGATAAAAGGAAATAACCATTTACCTGCTATTAACATTTTCCTGCACTGGAATCATCAGTCATAATTTCGTAGAAAAAAACAAAAAAAAAGGCAAAAGAGCATCACAGCAAATTTTAAACTTCTCTAAAGTGGAACATGAATTTCAAGCAAATAGCGTATAGTAACCAAAAAATAAATAAATTAATGTACCAAAAAAAAAAAGTACTAATAATGTAGATAATAATTTTCTTGAAAAATATTCAATCAAATTTGTGAACTCATGATCATTTTGGCTCTGATACTGTAACATCCCGGGCGCTGACGAGGGCAGGGAGTGATCGCCGGTGCGAAATGGCATGGACAAGGAGCGACGGGGTACATGAATGAATCGAATCAATACTCGAAAAAGAGGGATTCCAGAGACTGTGTTGGTATGGGACGGTACAGTTGGGAATGATTTATAAGAATTAATTGGCACTGCCTATACTAACAAGATGCATCTACTTTTCGGTAGCCCGAAACGGAAGAACTTCATAGTTAAGCGTGCTTGACTTGAAGCAATTCTGGGATGGGTGAACTCCTGGGAAGTTTTTCCCGGGAAGTGTGCGAGTGAGGACAAAGCACGCTGAAAAGTCTCGTGTTAGTGTGGGGGACAGTCGTATTCTTGCAAGTTGTCAGGCGTTACAGATACCATGATAAATAACCTTCTCATCCAATAGCTCAAGTTAATAGGTGGAGGCCCAACAATGTTTTTTTATATTTCTTTAACATTTCTTAGTTTTCAAACAATAATTAATCCACAATTATCCAAAATTTTTAAGTAATCAGAAATCATCCAAATGTTTGTTTGTTTTTTTTTTTTTTTTCCAGTTTCATGTGCATCTAAATGTATTTAATTTTTTTTTTGTGGTATTCATGTATTTGATTCTTTAAGATATATACGACATAGGTTTGATATCCTAAGTTTAATTGCAGTCGAAAGATTGAATGACTCATGACTACTATCAGTTTTAGTTAAGCAACTAGATGACTTAGGTTACCAAAAAAAATAAGCAACTAGATGACTTAGGCCCCATATGCCTCCTTTAGATTAATAATCATGTTTAGAGGGATTATAGATTAAATTATCAATGAGAAGTCCATTAATTTATGCCAGAGAAATTTATGGCAAAGATTAAACGTAAAACAGGAAGAAAAAAAAAAGTCACCAATATCTGTCAAGTTGCAATGTTATGGAAGATGTTTCAAATTGATTATGTTCACTATCTTGCAAGGATACATTGAAGAGTCCATGAAACATGATGCATTCAAAAGGGCGAGTAAGAGTAGGCCGTAGCCCATAGGAATCAAGAAAATCAGACTGTTAATAAAGTTAAGATGAGATGGCGAAATGGGAAGGATGGACATCAAATCTAGAGAAAGACGAAGTGTTGCTCCAATTATGTGACATTGATGCTCAACCTCGATGGTCAATTACTTTAACATCAAGACAGTGGAAAAGCTGTGATTGACCAACTGAAATTTTCTTTCTTCCTGAATAAGCAACGAGCACCAGATTATGTAGCATTCATTACTGGTGGATCCAAAAGTCAAAAATTGTAGTACGCTCAAGAGAGAATACACCAAGCTATATTAAAAAGTGATGATACTTTATACCAAAAAAGAAAAAGAAAAAGAAAGTGATGATACTTGCACCTTCAGTTAGATGCAAAATGTAACTATGAAGCTTCTATTCTCGAAAAATGTCACTGCCATACATTGATCGGATGGTGGCGTGGAAAAGTAGGAATGATTATATTACAGGAGGAGTAAATCGACGAGTTTAGAAAAACGAAAATATGTTTATGTAGGGGGTGAATCTTATCGTGTGAAAGAGTAATTATGTTATTTGATCACAATCACTCATTTAAAAATTATACACTTTTCTCTCTCTTATCTCATCATCAATTAGTAATTGTGATCAAATAACATGACCACATCCACTTCCGTCTATGCATGTGTCTCATGCCCGTACCAAAAGTAAATAGAATTTACTTTTTTTCTTTTTCTGTCTTCTCATTAATGAATTTCACCCATTGTTTTATGTGTCACACAAGATAATTTTATCTCATATAACGTGATAAACATATTCCCTTAAAAAAAATATATGCTTTTTATGGTGCACCCTCACCTGTGCTCCTTTGATAGTTACCTGCAATCATAAGTATTAACATGATGCTCCATATTGTTTTTTTTTTTTTTTTTGTCTTACAAGTACTGTAAACTGCAATTTAAACCTCTAGAGGGAATTTTTTTGCAAATAACAAATTTTTACGATTATAGATCTCTTTTTACTTCGTTATCTACGGCTATAATTGCAACGTGCACCCTTGGTTAGAGGGCACCATAAAACGCACCTGAAAAAAATGTCTCTCATGAAGCCATTCAAATATTAGAAACTTATGGTGGGGGCACCATCACCAATCAAATAAAATCAACACAACCAGCATTAACATGATCATGAAGCAATTTTGTTGTCATACATATACATAATAGCATACAATGATTTCTCAACTTAAGATCATAATCAGTACTTGGCGTCGCCCACACCTTATTCCATGCCAGATTTTAGAACTCCAATTGATCATCACTTTACATGGTAAACTCTCACAGCTTTGAAGGAGACTGGTACCAGCCCCATTGTTCATCAGATATGTACTTAGTCACTTGCTTCACACTCAAGTAGTTATCAAGTCCCCTGAAAAAATTGAATTCAGATGGTTAAACGGTCAAGAGATTGCCTAACCAACATTTTTATTTTTCACATTTGACAATATTGGAGGAGGAATTAAAAGGCCTTAAAATTGAATTCCACATTTGCTGATTTAGTCAATAAGAGTCATACCATTCTCCTAATTCACGACCAAAACCACTACGTTTAACGCCTCCCCATGGGGCTTGAAGGAAGCTTGGTTGAGCACAATTGATCCATACAATCCCAGCTTGAAAAGCCTGCATAAAAGCAATATAAACCATTCATTTACAGAAAACCCAATTATTTTGTTGTTTTTATGATAATCTAGGATCACTCTCACCTTAGATAGGCGCTCACATCTTTCTAGATCATTTGACATTACAGCAGACCCTAGGCCGTAGCTGTGAAATATCAAAGTATATATAACTTTGAAGTCAATCCACAAGTGAAAAAAAAAAAAAAAAAAAAGTTTCAAAGTGAAACTAATATCAGTTTCCAGAAAATTCATCAACTCACTGGGTGTCATTTGCTAGTTCAATAGCTTCTTCCTCAGTACTAAATGTTTTCACAGAGAGTACAGGTCCAAAAACTTCTTCTCTCCAAATTTTCATTGAGGTAGTCACATCAGTTATGATGGTTGGTTCAACATAGAATCCCTTCTTTAAATGCTGCCATTAAGTTTGAAAAATCTATCATGTTTCATGACAAATGCAGAAATACATAACCGAGCGCAAATACTAGAGGGTATAATCATACCTTTGGGCGAGATCCACCGGTCAAAATTGTTGCACCCTCACTCTTGGCAGTTGAGATAAAGTTCAATACTTTTTTGTACTGAATGATGTAATCCAAATATTAGATATTGCATCATCTTGGTTCAAGACAGATAAATGCTTAAATCATTTTTTTAAGATTTTAAATTGCAAGACCAGAAAGAAAGCTAAATCATGGGAACTACATAAACAATGTCAGGAAAAGCTTGTGTGTTTTCTGTCACATGATAAAAAAAATTAGCCAGCCAACCACTAACTTTATATATGAAAATTAATATTAATACACACACTACATGGAAATTGATCATAATAACTGATATCACACTACCATACATTTTCATCTTGGATAGTGGAGAATGCATTTGAATAACAAATGTTAGGAGTAGATTTTCAGGATTACGTATCAACTGAATTTTTTAAGCATACTAAAGCCACTAATTACACACTATGAGCTTCAAACAATATCTTAAACCAAAAACTACAGCATATTATGGTAAGAAATGGAACAAGGTCTAACAAACAGAACTTTACATATCTTTGTTAAAAGCAGAAGTATCTTGATTGGAAAGAGGATCTAAAGTTAGGAATAAAATTACACTATAATTACAACCTACAATTTTTTTCCTTCCAAATTAGAAGTTAAACCAAAAAATAAAAGTAATATATAATACCTGCATAAATTCCTTTCACAGGAATCAAAGTGCAACCTAATAATTTTTATGTACTAACCAAAAGCTTTACTTAAACTTGATGAAGAACTAATGGACCATGTCCAGATGAAGCACAAAAAGGTCAAGCGAATGCTACCCTTCTTTTAAGTTTTAGGGGATTGTAGAATTTTCTAAATTTTCACCAACTATTTTAATAATTCTATATAACGGAGCGTGAAATGCGTATATAAAAGCAAACACACTCATGCAAACCCAACAGGGGAAACATATTCCTTTCTGTGTTAGCAATAATAGATTGCCAATGACATTGTGGACAAATTATATATCTGCTTGGACTGCTATTCAATGATAAATAGTTGATAATCTCCCCCAGAATCCAGACATAGATAAGTTAAAAGGAAATTACTCATTACTAATGCACAACAACACAATTGGGTCGCTTAAATTTCTTAAAATGGGGCTGTGGGAAGTTAGACTTAATATCAGTCTTTTTATCAAATGCTATTAAAAATTAAATGAAACAAGAGGAGTTACGTAAATATATGGTAAATACAGAAGTGATGAACAGCAAAAATACCTGTCCTTCACTAACAATAGGGCCTAGCTTGCATCCTTCTTCCAAGGGATCTGAAATTTTGATGTTTTTGATCCATTCCACAAGCCTATTCACATATTTTGCTGCTATACTTTCCTGAACCAGTAAAAGTGTCTTACTTTATCAATTTTAAAAAATCAAAGCAAATGGAATTGCAACAAAGTTATCTGACAAAATTCTACCATAATCTAAGTAAATACGAACCTTCCTATTTATGCAGCAAAAATAAGAAAATTAAGCTACAAATACTTGTTTGTGAACCTGGATATATGTTATGGATAGAATGGGGAATCAAAATCTGTCTATTTAACTTACGTGCACAATAAGGCGAGATGTTGCACTGCATATCTGACCATTTGTAAAGAAGCAGCCAAGGATGGTCCATTCAGCAGCTGTTTAAATCATGAAGAATATATCAATAAATTTTAATTGGTACATGAGCATCTGTTTAGATCATGCAATAGGGCTTTAGATACCCAAAATTTACTCATCCACAATCAGTTTCATAGGAAATGTGATTTGACATTGCAAGAAAACAAGGGCTGTTCATAACAAAATAGATATACTTGAGAAGGCACTTACCCTTATCAAGGTCAACATCCTCAAAAACAACAATTGGGCTTTTTCCACCAAGCTCCAGTGAAACAGGCTGCCAACAAGAAACCACAAATTTGATATTACATGAACTCACAAAGAAAAGAGAGAAAAAATGAAAGGAGAAAAAAAGGGTTAAAAATATAAATTGTATTGGTGTTCCGCAGTCTTTTCTTCTGCATGTGTGTGCCTCAGTGTACTCCAGCTTTTATAACAGAATGAAAAGGACAATATGAGCTGTAAATAATTTGCAAATAATACTGCATAAAAATACCTTGATTAGCTGCGCTGCGGCTGTCATAATCTTGCTCCCAGTTACAGAGCTTCCGGTAAAGGAAATCTGTTGAAAAGTTAAATATTAGCCACAATGGCACATTAGCTTTGCAAATTCAAAAACAGAATAGTAATAATACTTGCAATTGCAAGATACAGAACAAGATATAGCTCCAAATAATTTTGATTCTACCAATAACTAAAAACAACTTAACCTTGTCTACATCAGGATGGGATGCCAAAGGAGCACCAGCTTCATGGCCGAATCCAGTGACAATATTTAATACACCTGGAGGAAGGCCTACTTCTCTGCATATTTCAGCCAGCTCCAAACAAGTCCTAGAATTGTAAATAATAAGACAGCATGAGAAACCAACATAACAAATGATCAAGTTTGTAATAGTTGATGAGAACATACACAGATGCTAATTCAGATGGCTTCAAAATTGCAGTACAACCAGCAGCCAGAGCAGGAGCAACTTTCCATGAAGCCATTAAGAGAGGATAGTTCCTGATACATAACATTAACCACACCATTACATTAGCCATTCAACTAGCAATTGGTATTACTTATATAATTGATAATGTGAATGCATCAATTTCCTAATGAAGTAAGCTGTAAAATGGATAAGCAGATACCATGGAGTAATTAATGCAACAACCCCAATGGGCTCTTTGAGAACATAACTCTTGAAGGTCTCCATAGGAAGAGATACAGGAGCCTTTTGCTTTGCATCCAACCCTTCAGCAAGCTCAGCATAGTAGGTAAAACAACCAGCAACATCATCCTACACAATAAAATCATAGATCCAAATAAGCTACAAAAAGCACGGGAACATCGGTTATTGTTTTTCTTTCCTATGTCAAACGTTACCAGGTCCGCTAGTGCTTCATCCAGTGGTTTTCCACAATCAAGGGCTTCAAGTTTTCCTAGTTCATTCTTTTTCTCCGTTACCTGTGAGAAATGAAGGTACAAACAGTCTAGTCAGCTTTCAAGACATGCACATTGGCTCAATCAAAGAGTAAACAACACACATAAAAAATAAAAATAAAAATAGTTCTGTTATTCTTACACCTTAATTTTCTTAGAATCAACAAAAGTTATTATTCCATTAACCTATCAATATATGTTGACCAAAAAGTTATGCATCATGCAACATACTCTTTAACATGCTTTTTTTTTTAAAAAATATTTTCTTTATTAATTGATGAAATCTCAGTGATACCTCTTTGATCCCACTAATAGAAAGTATATATATATATATATATAAAATAAGTGTGATGCTAGCGTATTTCTTAAAAAAAAAAAAAAAAAATTACAAACCTTTGCAGCGATGGCTCGAAGATAGCGAGCACGAACAGAGCCAGAAGCCTTTGACCAATCACTGCCCTTGTTCCTGGATAGGGCGCTTCTAGCAGCATCCACTGCAAGGTCAACATCTTCCTTAGTAGCAGCTGGGATATACCCTGAAGAGCATTCACATAAAGGTGGTTAGTTACTACACATGTATCAGAAACATTAAAAAGTACTACTATATTGGTAAAGTTTAGATATGAGTTATGAAAAGACAGTGCTAAGATTATATGTCATTTGAAAAAAGAAAGAAAGACAGGGAACCTATTATGTCTTCAGTTGAGGGGTTGATGATTGGAATTCGGTTGTTTAGGATCGGAACTCTCCACTCTCCATCTATGAATAGCTGTCTACTGGGCACTGGGATAGCCATTTTTCTCTCTCTCTCTCTCTCTCTCTCTTACTTTGTCTCCCACTCACCGTCGGTTATGTTTCTGTATTCTTGGAGAAGATCAATTATGTGATCCATGATAATATTAATAATGTTGAGGCTACGTCATGTCCATGGCCACGACGGATAAAATGAAAAGTAAGATATATTGGGAAATATTTAAGGGAAAAGTGTGTATAATTTTAAAGGATGTAAAGTTGTGTCATTTTAAGAGATAGATTAAGGAGGAGAGAGAGTTGACAAAAAAAATAAAGGTGTGGGTCCCACCTCTTTGTGAGAGTGAAAGGATGTAAGTTATGTAATTTTAAATGATAGATATTTTTTCCAATATTTAATATGCTCCAGGTCGCCTAATAATTTGGTGCTCTTTTTTCACAACATTAATTTTTTCTTTCTCATTTTATCCCAGTTATTTTTCTTCTTTTCTAATTTTACCTTTCCATTTACACTAAGGGACCACCTAACAAATAGTGGTCCCGGCCACAATAAATTCTCTCGATATATTGATGGTTTTACGTTTTTTATATAGTAGAAAATAAAATTATTTTTAGAGTTAGGATATTCTTACAAGTAATTTATTTTACTACCATTCCACTACCACTTTAATCATCATTGGATTAGAGAAAAAGTTGAATGAAGAGAAAGAAAAAAAAAACTTTTGAATCTAATGGTGATTAAAGTGGTAGTAGAAAAAATTAATAGTAAGAATATCCTTCCCCTTATTTTTAATACATATAAAAATATTTGGGATTAATATAAGGTCACATGAAAATAAGAGAGAAAAAATATACCCTATATACTTTTATAGAAAATGTGAGTATCATGTTCTATCACATATCTTGTATCATGTCATATACACAAAAAATATGGATCTTATTTAAAAAATGAAAATAATAAAAAATAAAAATATAGATCCACCTTTTTGTATCTATAGCATTATACAAAATATGTTATATAACATAATACTCATATTTTTTTCATATAGAAAATAATAATATAAGAGATGTTAAACCATATTCAGTACTATGATATATTTAAGACTATATTAAAAAAATTATTTATTTTAGATGACTTTTTCATTATTATTTTTTATTAAATTTAGCTTTTGTTGACTGTATCAATAATTGACACTCAGCTTTTGAGTCATGTTTGGTGGGTGAATAAAATTAAAATGAGACCTTTTATATTTCTTCAAATAAAATTAATATATATTAATCCGTTAATCTTTTTATTTTATTTTAAATGGACCCATTGTTTTTCTGTGGTAATATAATTTTTACCGCTCACATTATATATATATATATATATATATATATATATATATATATGAAAGAGATCTTTTGACTTTAGAGTAAGATATAAAAATCTTACTTCCTATCTCAACTGTTAATTTCCGTCCATTTAACATTGTTATTTATTTGAAATTAATAATTAATTAACTGCTATAACTCAATAAACTATAATTGTTAAATGGATAGAAATCAATGACTAAGATGAAGAATAAGACTTTTAAATATTACACTGGAGTCAAAAAAATCCCTATTCATATATATATTTTAAATATACATTGCTTTCAAAATTTTGATTGGTATATAATAAAAGTTAAAAGTCTCCCTAATAGTGTTTATTCAAAGATCCAATTCTCAACCTTAAAATAGTCATTTTGATTGGTTTAGTGATGAGAAATTTGAATAATTTATATTAAGTTATATGTTTAATTCCTACCAACGTATAAAAAAATAGAAATTGAACACATAAACTAATACAAACCATTCAAATTCCTCACCACTAAATCAAACCAAATGGCTTTAAAATAGTCATTTTTAACCAATGCATCGAATATTTTATTGAGTATATATTAATGTTATTAGACCCGAATTGGTCATAGACTCTGTTAGGTTATCGAATCAATTAGTCACTGGTTCAATCAATTATATAAAAATATAAATAGAAGTAATATAGAGTGAAATATTCTGTCATAATTTTCAAAAAAATGGTTCAATCAAAAAATTGATACTCGGTTAGCACTTGTGGAACCCAATTTTTGACTGGCTCACCAGTTCTTGATTGGGTTGCATGCATAGCCTGTTAATGGTCTAGGTCTCAGTTCAACTGACATATATCTTTTGTTTTTTAAATTGTAAATGATAAATTTGTTTTATCAATGTTTCAAATTGTGCATGATCCTAAATGTTATGCAAGGTGGGTCAATGGTCAAAGACGCACTTTACCAATCAACCTAAGCCTATATCCCTATAAATGTTAGTTCTCTAATTTTTTTGACTTTTCATGTCTTAAATGGATCAACTTAAGTATTAAAGTGTTTTATTTGCAGTTAGGCGCCCATCGCCCGCGACCGACAAATAAAAGAAACCAACGGATCTGACGAGGACACTAACATTATATGCAATAACTATAATCTTAAGAAGTAAGAATATACGAGTTAGTTTTACCGAAAATATATATATATATATATATATATATATATATATATATATATATATATATACGAGTTAGGAATTATCTTATTCTAACATAAATATTATAAGGTTTTTATCTATAATCAAATTTAAATAATATTATATGATTTAAATAAAATGACATACACAAGTTTATAACTTGCATTACTCAATGCAATCTTATGTTGGCATAAGATCACGAATATATTCGACAATAGCCTAATAAATTTATAAAATCCAGATTATCGTAGTAATCTGATATAAATGAGGCACGACTAACTATAAATTTTTTTTAACACAGCACTCCTTACTTAATAGCCTTGTAATTATTAGGCAGAAGCTTAGAAATTCGGATTTTTGGTATTAAATTCGGTTGGATATAAAAAATTTCAATTTTTGGAATTTGTCCCTTACTAGACTACTAAGTAAATCTTCCAAACTTTGATTTGCAGCCTTAATTCTTCCATGGTTTAGGGATGAAAATAATAAGACAAATTGAGTGTGTGCAAAAAAAAATTCCATAATTTTTCAAAAGCAACTCATTAAATCAATCCATTTAAGCAAACAATTTCTTTTAAAAACTCAGCAACATGAGAAGCATATGCATCACTTGTTAGCCTTTGCAGTTTGACAAATACGGCACTGTGTCTTGCAACATCCTTCTCTGTTTTGCTTTTATTGTCTGTACCGATTTTAATTTGTTTTTCTCTCCTTACATTGATATGGTTGTGTGTTGTCAATTGTTTATAAATTATATATGACAGAGTGGTTAATGGTTTAAATTGTGCATGGTTCTAACCTTATAAGAAATAATCTTTGTTTTAATATGCAAGACAATTTTGATTTACGATTAAATCTATACCTTATTATATTAAAATACTCTAAACACGTACCCTATAAATACAAGATTGAACATTTCATTTATGATCAAATTTTAATAATGTTATATATTTTAGATTAAATGTAATATAAAATCAGAGAATCTCCCAACTTTATACGTACTACACATATGTAGTTATCATTTGTTTAAATTAAAATTAAAAAATTAATTATACCAGGAATTTAAAATATAGATTTTTTCACCAAAAAATAAAAATAAAATTATGTGATCGATGTTCTTAAATATATCATACAATTTAGGAGAAATATTTTTTCGAGTTATTGGAGAAAATATTTCTTCTACCACACATACATCGATTTACGTGCTTTGATTTTATTTTTAATTTTTTAATGGTGAGACTCACCTAAAACTTGTGTCTGTAAGAAGATTTCTCTCCTCATGTTAAAGGAGAAAAACAAAACCCTACAATTTAATACAAATATATTTTTAACCTAAAAAGATATTTTCATATTAAGCAGTAAAAGACATGAAATTAATGCCTTGATTATAATAATAAGACTTTAAATTTAATCTGGATCAGAAGATCATATTTTACATTATTATATAATGGTTTTAGTACTTCGATAATCATGATTTAATAACACATTAAATTAAAATCTAATATTAATTAGGAGTTTAATTTGATTTAAAGTATATCTAAATCCATATGGAGCCTATTAGAAATTAACAAATTGAGAAACCACTTAATCAGATAATGTTATTCTTTTCAAAACATATCAAATTAATTATAGCTTATACATGATCCCCCGTTTCATGCTCTTTGTCTAGATAATCAACTGGAAAGTCCAAGAAATAAAAAAAAAAATCAATTCGTGTTGGAAGAGATGATATTGGCGGTGATTTGTTTGGGTTTCTGGGATAGACTTTGATATTAAATGGTCTGTTGTGCTTATACGGCAATTTTGAATCTACTTGATCGAAGCTGATGGTAGTGGTTGAACGAAATGGGATAGGGTATCTGCAAAGTCCTGCAACCCTATAGTTTTTAAGTGCAAGAGGATAGTGTGTGTATCTCGTGGGTGGGTGGTAATAGTTTCTTATAATGTTGTGATTACCAAAACATCCTCACTTCACATGAAAAAGGATCTTGTAGATTGCTTTCATAATATGCCAAAATAAGGTTTCTTGACCTATGTAGTTTATAATTTTAAAAGTTTGACCTGAATAAGTCTTTGGTCAAACTATTGCCCAGAGTAATGCATTATGTCAATCGCCGGAATAAAACACGGTAGTATGTATACCGTTTATGAAAACATTCCAAAGCCTGTCGTGTCACTGTTGTACATTACACGTCAAAGTGAAGGAACACGTCCCTGCACCAGACGCGGCCTACTTCCCATAAAACGCCAGGGAAGCTAACGTGTTGAACTTGCCAAAACAACTAAAGAAACGGTACCCATAAGAACGCGTTCAATGCATGTCATAGGAACTGAGAAACATCCATGTACCTGACGTGTTGAGCCTAGTTCTACTCAATCAGATTCAGACGACCACTTTATTGTTCTCATTATGTCAATCGCCGGAATAAAACACGGTAGTATGTATACCGTTTATGAAAACGTTCCACAGCCTGTCGTGTCACTGTTGTAAATTACACGTCAGAGTGAAGGAACACGTCCCTGCACCAGACGCGGCCTACTTCCCATAAAAACGCCAGGGAAGCTAACGTGTTGAACTTGC